GGCGTGCAAGTTTCAAGCAGGAAAAGATGCCCAAGCCACCTCAACTGGCTCCTTGCGATGTGGAGGAGCAGCGGCTCTACTCCGAGCTCCTCCCGCGTGACTGAGCTCCTCAACCTATCTCTAAGGGAGCGCCCAGCCACTAAGCTAGATCACCTGACAAAATATGAAATCAACAAATATTTTTACTCATAATTGTGTTAATGCTATGTAGAAGGATGTGCACATGAGCAAAAGTTGCCAGGGCAACAGACCATTTGCCCTCTTTGGCTGGAATGAAAAAAAAAAGTTTTGTGCTGTGACTGCATAAATATGAGTAACTGATACCTGCTAAAGTTTGACCACATAAAACTGCTATACTATCCTGTTGGGAAACTTTGAGTTACTCACTGCCTACATGCAAGCCCTTTTAAATGCTGCAGAGCACAATGGTTATTTATGACTGATTGTGTATCTATGAACCAAGGAAAATAGGTGGAATACAGCACTGTATTGTACTGCTTATGTGCGAGCAGTAATTCCTTAAAAGTTACTTGTTAAAGGTTTCCCCTTTGTTACTTTTATCCCTTTAAAGGCTGCTATTTTTTATGGAAATTGCAAACAGAAAACTTTCGCATATCTATGTTTTGTGCTCCATATTTCTCCCCATGTTCTCTTACACCTCTGCTGACAACATATCCAAACTTTTACTGCCTTTTGATAGACATGCCTCCAACAGCAACAAAGAAAAAGTGAAGTAAATATGGACTGCATATAACACATGGATGTAGCCACCAAGGCCCTTTGGTTTGTGGGGAGAAGACAATAGAGACCTGTCAGTTACAAGTAAACCCTGTGATACAGCATCCTCTACTTTATGAGTTTAGTTGTTTTTATTTTATTTTTGCTCCAAATGGCACCAGTATTTATAAAATTAACACCATGACAAATAAATTATTCAAAGCTTAGAGTAGTCACGATTCACTCCCCTCTGCGATAGTATTGCGCTATGCAACATATTTAGTTTCAACGCTGGTCTATCCATCCATCCATCATCTATACACTGCTTAATCCTCATTAGGGTCGCAGGGGCTGGAGCCTATCCCAGCCAACTTAGGGCGAAGGCAGGGGACACCCTGGACAGATCGCCAGTCCATCACAAGGCTTCAACGCTGGTCTTCATCCTCATATATTGGTGATTTTTTTCTGTGTCTTTTAATCATACTAATGAGTCCTGCTTCAGAGCCTTTCTCACCTTTAAAGGAGAAAGAGCTCCCAAAGTATCAACCATTTTGAATCTCCAGCATGAGTAATGGCAGTCAGCCAATTCAATCAGCATCTTCTGTTACATATGAAGACATTTCATCAGCTGTCAACAATAACATGCATTTTCTTCAGAAAATGCACTGGTATGAACCACAAATGCAATTCCATTTACCTCCCTGAACTGAGGCAAAAAGCAGATTTCTCTCCCCGCATTACTCAATACCAACAACAGTGAGAAATATGTGTGTGTGTGTGTGTGTGTGTGTGTGTGTGTGTGTGTAATTTGGGAGAACCAACCCTTTAATTTAGCTTGCGTAAACATACTGTGATATCATATTGCTTGACACACAAAGCTTGTTACTATACTGTAAGTCTACAGTTGTAAAACACAGCCATCTGCCCACGAAGAACAACACAACTGCATTACATGTCCGACTACATGTTCCTTTTCTTATCTGATGTCACACAGCACACCAGATAACACAGATAAAGGATTTGAAACATGCCTAATTTCAAAGATGGTATTTTCATGTTGTATCTTTGTCCTCTATGTGGCCTCGATAAACTGCAGCACTGTCACATACAGGGTGATTATGTTGCAGAGCCCAGTGAACCACTGCCCAACCATGCACAGGAATTCTCAAATTGCCTGCCATTTTAAGAGTACCTTTTGTTCAAAGCTCATTGTGTATTTCACATGATTTAAACTCTTTCTCCTACTGTTGGTAAGTAAATGTGCACTCGACCTTCCACCTTGCCTTTCCATTTTGTAAAGTGATAACTGATTTCTGATTGCAGCTTCTCCTCCCTTCTTATCATATGTTAAATTATTAGTAGGGCTTGCACAGACCAGAGCTTGTCATGTCTCAGGTGCTCTCCACTAGTGGTTGTGCAGTTTAAAGATTGGGCATTGAAGTGTATTCTTATTTATATTTTTCAAGACTGTTATATATTTTTTATAAAATAAACAGCCTACGTATTATAACATGGATTTCAAAATAGCTATTTTGAATTTCAAAGAATATGTCAGGAAATAAAAATATCATGTCTATTTTTCTACTTTAACTTAACATATTGGGTGTTTCACCCTAATATTATGGCCCAGTATTTGTTCTTTACTCTAGGTTGTGTGATATCGTGTATACAGTACAGTATCTAGAGTGTTCATGTTGTGTGCCAGGAGTCCAGTGGAACAGTGAGGCTCTGGTGTTGTTATTAATACTTAATGGCAGGCTCAAACGCCAATCACTGTGTTTGAAGCTGCCTCGAGGTTCACAATTACAGAATGCGGTTACAGACACCCAGTGTTGGGTTAGTGTGCAATTAGTTGCCTGCATCTGATAGGGTTACAAGTCACAGGTCTGACTGACAACAGCCCCAGTCACTAAATACAGGATGAAGACTTAGATAGGAGATGTCGATAAGGACCGCTTTTAAAAATATGAAATAAACACAACAAAGTGAGACTGTATGAAAAAAATTATTTCTTCCTTTCCACTGTTGCTGACCACTTGCTCATAGGGAATCCAAAGGCAGGTTTGGATTGTTGAGTTCTCAGTTCAAAATTTGTAAGGTCTGTACCTTACTATGTTAAATGCTGTGAGATGACATATGTTGTGAAGTCATGCCTATGAAGGTTCTGGTTTGATCTTGTTTGTAATATTCAAAAAGTTTCTGAATGGCCTTTAAAGGACCAGTGTGAAGGAGTTAGTGGCATATAGCGGTTTGCAGACTGCAACCAAATGAAGACCCTTTGCCTTACGTTGCACTTACAAGTGTGTAGGAGAACCTACAGTGTAGCAAGTTTTTGGTTTGCCTGTTCTGGCCTACCATTTAAAGATGGTGGTTCAACATCACTCTGTAGATATAAAGGGCTCATTCTAATTTTAAACTTTTCTGCTAATAAATCCTAATTCGTACACACTATACCATTACATTCCTTTTCCTATCTAATGATAAGGGGCGCTGGTAATGCTGGCTGACCCGACAGTTCTCCCTCCGGTCTCCCTCTGTTATTGGTCATTGTCTTTTTATGTTTCTTGGACGGGATGTAACTGTAAACACAATTTCCCTGAGGTACCCTACAAAAGGGATCAATAAAGTTATGTCTTATCTTATCTTACATGTACACAAGGCACACTTTGTTGTAATTTCTTAATTTATTAGGAAGCAATTATGTATTTACACACTCAGTCATTACCGGACAGCATTATCAATCTGATCTGAGTGTCTTTACTACTTGAAAATACCATTTTAACATTCACTCCCTTTAAGCTCTGCTTTTGGTCTCGACCAACTCCTGAGGGACATATCTAGCTCGTCAGCTGCTAAATGACCCACTATGCTCATCAGCTGCTCGGTAACTGTCAGTTTCCTGTTTATTGCTGTGCAGATTATGTTCAGTGAGATTTTGAGATATTACATTGAAAACTTAGGGTGAAGGCAGGGGACACCCTGGACAGGTCGCCAGTCTATCACAGGGCCACACTTAGAGACAGACAACCAAGCACACTCACATTCACACCTACGGACAATTTAGAATCACCAATTAACCTCATCATGTTTCTGGACTGTAGAAGGAAGCCAGAGAACCCAGAAAGAGCCCACGCTGCACGGGGAGAACATGCAAACTTCATGCAGAAAGATCCCGGGTGTCTTCACTGGGATTCGATCCAGCAACCTTCTTGCTGCGAGGCATCAGTGCTGACCACCGAGCCACCTTGGGGAGATGCAGATTTAGGTAATAATTCTCTCTATAGTTATCACTAGCCTCTCTCAGCTGACTCAGGCCAAAGACATCCTCAAGTCTACCAGAGCATCATCTTTAATGACAGCCTGCAGTCATGACGAGCACAATATCACTTTTGGAGAGAAACTTGTCCTTAGGAGTCTATTGCTGTGATGCTACAATTCTGACTTTGAAGCAACCATTTTCAATGTTTAATTTCAATAAAATCATTCAGTATAAACAACTCAGAGGAGACACTCTGTGTTCTGTTTTATAAAGGTTTCCCTGCTGAGCCTGTGTAGGCTACCACCAACGCCTCATGCTGACATCACAGCCTGTCTGTCAGTAATGTTCAAGATTGCCCTAGATACTAATACTACCACATCTATAGCAATGTCTTACCCTTGTCAGTATTAGAACAATGATATAACTGTGCTTTAGTGGGATTTATGAGGTGTTGAAGAAGAAATTAGACTTTCTCGAAGGTTGGTGTTTACAAAATCAGGACTCAACACTGTTGTATGTTTGTTCCCCCCATGATCTCATTTTTATATTGCAATGTTTTGAACATTTTAGATTGAGGTAGATTTTAACACTTTCTCCACTATTGAATTTTCTTAATACTTGCAGAGGACTAATGATACACCTGTTACATGTTATGTTTAATGGTAATATCTTATTCTATTGTTTTAATCCTCCATCTGCCTACTATCATTACTTCGTGTTATGTAGTCTACCTGGAAACATTTCAGCCATGGTGTGTAACAACATGCAGCTTACCGAGGGCTGTATTGAAAAATAAAATGAGGCACTTGTTTTTATTTATGCTACAGTACTTTGTCTGCTATAACGCAGAAGGAATACATATATTTTAAATTAAGATTTAACATACAAAATATAGCCTAGGATACGCTTACAAAATGTAATGTTTTGGTTTGGTTTAAATGAACCAGTTTAAAATTACAATGCCAACTTTTTGGCCAGAATAAAGTGTGAGTTCCCACAGAGGATCCCAGATCTGCTCTCTTACCTATTGTCGTAATGACAGTGATGGCGAAGTAAAAGGAGCCGGCAAATTTCCACTGCACTCCGGCTTTGTGCGGCTTTAGCTGCAGCACAACCTTCTCCAGTTCGTCAAAGTCCTCCGTGGACAAGTTGAAAGTCTTGAGCAGCCCTTCTTTCCTCTGGTGAAGCTCCAGCCTCTGGGTCGTCTCCTTTCGAGATTCCAGCGCGTCGAAGATCGCGGCGCCGACGATCAGGTAGGTGAAGGTGCAGATGATGAGGGCGAGGGTCCTGGCGTTCTGCCTCTTCATGGTGTTGCGATGTTTGCTAGGGGCACAGGTGAAGTGTGAGTGCGGCTCTAGAGGACGGGGAGCTCGGCTGGCTCATGGCTGTACTGCTCTGACGGAACAGAGGAGGTCTCTGATGACTTCATGAGCTGGGAGCTGGGAGCTGTTCTTCAGCACCGCCTCGCCTCCCCACCACAGGACTCCTCCCCCTTCATACGTCCCCATGCATGTCCCATCTCTCTCTCTCTCTCTCTCTCTCTCTCTCTCTCTCTCTCTCTCTCTCCTTGTGTCAGATTACACATTTTAAGGCATCTCAGATCTCAGAAAAAATGTACTCCGTGTGCACTCCCAGTTTTAACTCTCTCTGCAAAGTGTGTCATGTTTTAGCTGCAGTGCCTGAGAAATTATTCACTTCTACTTAAGTAAAGGTAGCAGAACCAAGGCATGCATATATGTTTTCTTTTGTTGTTGTTTTTTTTTTCTTTTTGTTGTTCTTTTGCAACTTTTAGGTCTTTGACTACAGATCACATACAGTATGGATGATTAATAATGATCATTTATAAAAACCTCTGCGAAGTTTGGTTTTGCCCACCTGCCAGGCTACAGGTGGTTAAAGGTTCGATACTTATATTGGCAAAGGGATTTGAAAGATTTATGGAGGACTCCTTCACAATGATATTAGGAGAGGTGTTACAGTCAGCACAAACAAGAAGAACTGACATGAGCTGGACTGTTGGCGAAAGTGCTGTAGGTCTGGAGGAATGTAAAAATATCATTATTATATCATTATATTATCGTTATAAACTTAAATTTACAAACATAATGTGTCTAGCAATTTATAAATTCCAATTAGTTAATTAATTAATCTAATCTATCAGCCATGATTCAGAAATAATTCTAATACATGTGCTCTTGCTAAATGTTTACTAAGATTAATGCATGTGTAGCCTGCTTTACGCTTGCTTTACTATACTTTACTTCTACACATGTATGCAGTTAGTTATATTCATTTCATGTATATACATGTAGGAAATAATGTCTCCAAGAAAGTATCTTTCTATATAGCTCATTGATGATGATCTCCTCTGTTAAGGTCCAGAGTTTTGTCAACCCATCCATCCAGCCTCGATCTTCTCCCTAAATGGACTTTGAGGATCTGATATACTGTTTATGGGCTCCACATCACTTCACTTTTTCTTTTGGCAACCATACCATTTGTGAGCTTTTGGGGTCATGTGAATAAGTACATGTATAACCTCCGGTGTAGTCGCCACCTTGGAAATGTACAAAAATAGCTTTGTAATATGTGGTAAAAGTAAAAAAAAAAAGTTTGATTTTAACTCAAACCATGATCCTTTTCAAAACCTTACTAAGCAGTTTTGTTAGCTACACTGAACCAAACACTGTCTGAATACTCAAGTAAAACACAACGAGTGAAAACTGATGTCAAAACGAAACTGAAGTCAAAAAATAAATCATTCATAGTCCCTGGTTGATGTGAAACTCAAGTCTCCCAGGTGAAAGTCTGCTGAGTTACACCACCAGCAACTCCTTCAACCTGCAAATGTACACTTTTTTATCCCACTATGCAAGTGCATAGTCAAGTAAGCTTGGGTAATTATGGTGCTTCTAAAAGTAATTCAAGAACAATTTTGTTGTGTAGAAACATAATTTGTAAGAGAAAGGTTTGAAAAATGGGACCCACAATTAAACCACCAATGATCATCTGTTTCAGAGGATTTGCTGTTTTTCTCTATTTTTATGCAGTTGTAATCTATATCAAAAATAGGTATTTTAAGGTCTCACATCAGGCTTCAAGAAATTACGGATGATGATAGTTTTTAAAATTTTTGTTGACTGAACAAGTAACTGACTAAAAGAGGAAACTATCAGCAGATTAATCAGTGATGGAGAATAATTAGTTTTAGTCTCACAATAAACCTCCAGGCACAAAATCACAAAAACAATAATTTGAACTCACTCACTCTTGACCAAAGAAGTCAAAAGTCAGGGATCCTTTTCAGTTAATAAAAAAAAGAAAGTCCTTCTTTTTGGGAAGAAATTACATAAATTCTTGGACTACAGCAGCTTTGTTTTAGTGACCACTGACCTACTTCAGCAAAGCAGCTGGGTAGGCTGTGACAGGGTTTTATTGCATCTATAAGGATCTTTCTCTATCTGTGACTGATGCTTTTAACATTACTCGCTGCAACATTTAAATTCCTTTAGAATCCAGCTGTTACTTTGACTCAAGGGAAAAATCAAATGTCTGCTCTTTGACCTTAGCTTTCCCCAGTAGAACGCAGTAATACTAGAAGCTTCTTTTTAGACTTGCGAGTAAATAAACTTCATATGGAATTTTCCAGCCTTGTTTAAATATTGTTTGTTTACAATGATGGGAAATTTAGCTACAAGAGGTGTGTGAGAAGTGAATTTAATGTGTGTTTAAGCCAAAACAAAGGCACATGATGAGACAAAATGTCAAGTGAGAGTCTAACTGGGGCCAAATATGGTGACCTCAGAGTCACTGGTTTCCACTAAATGGTTCCCTGATGTGTTGTACATCAGTGAGAGACAGGGACACCGGTTGTGGGAGGATACTCTGAATCAGTTAAGGCAATCCCGTGCAGATTTTTTTTTTTCACATTTTCACAGGCTTTTGAAATTGAACAATTTCTTATGGACAATAAAATGCCTGTGCTTCTATTGTATGACTTCAATTGATAAGAAGTGCATGTAGCTGTTAATTTACGGATGAACTATTAGAAAGAAATTACACACAGCAGGCCTAAAACCATCGTCACTATTTAAATTGTATCTATAGCCATACCACCAACCTGTGACAAATGATGATACGTATACTGTACCTTACTGCCTCTGTCATTGACTGATAGATCCTGGCCAATCTTAAGTTCCACACTGTGAGCCAGGCCAAAAATAGCTCTGGCTTCAATAAACAGGTCAGTTAAGTCAACCGTGACTGAGCCTGCATAAATCCGCCCTTCACAAACTAAAGTGCTGCAAGCATCTGCTGATCAATGTGTCAATTAATGCATGACACATTGTTCAAAAATGTGGCCTTACAAAATGGTCTTTAAAAGTTAAGGACTAATGCGATAATACAAAGAATCTATACCCTGACAGGCTTTTTGTCTTTTTTAGATTGTGGTTAAAGTTGCACATTTAGTATAGTATGGAATAGTTAACAAATCACATCAAATCACATAAGAGAAATTATTACAAAAATATAAATACTAATATCCACTGCCTTTTCCAGACTGAATTCATGTCCTGTACAGGCAGAATCCTTATTTATATCTTAGTTTTTCACCATCAGGTCAGACTTTTAATCGGTCTCATGCTTCACTTAATGACAAAATATATGCCAAACAATAGCATTTTTCACCAGCCTTAGTTGTGCTTTGTGCATTTGGTGCTAATCATCAAATGTTAGCATGAAAACACACAAGCCAAGATATACAACTAGCATGGTTTTAGTGGATAGCCATGCTAGGCTTTGCATAGTGAACATGTTGACATACTAGCAGAGCATCAAGTTCAGCCTCACAGAGCGTCTTGTTTTGTGAAATATTAATTAAGATTTGTGACACAGTCGGGCCACCCTAAAATGCAGTAAAGCCACAAGGTCTAATGAGGTGGTCAGATTAAATTGAGAAGACACTTCACAAGTTGAAAACCAACAGAAGAAAAAACTGTTTTTAATATAGTGCTTTGTTTTGTTGGCGTTATTTATCTCTCAGGTTGGTTGTGGGTCATTATCAGTCTAAACTATAAAGTCCTGCAGACCCGCAGAGTTTCGGCTGCAGACAGATCTGCGGTCTGCGTTTCCGCCTACTGTGTAATTACCAGCAAAACCTGATGAGACTGAGTACTTCCTGCAGCCACTGAGCCATCAGACAAAATCTTCCAATGCCAGGGTTTATCCTCTGGCAGTTTAAGTAGGAGATCCAGCCTGAACCCTCATTCCTGCAATTTTGGAGAGACTGCAAAGTCCATGCTGAAATTAGAAAATTGATATTCTAAGAAACCCCAGACTGCAGATTGTAAATACTCTGATGCTCTGAAGTGGAATTTATTAACTGCAAAAGAAAGTGTGTGTGATAAGCCACACTGCATTTGCTATGGATCTTTAAAATGTGATTTACTTGTGAGTTGTGCCATCTCATCAGAACAAGCCTTCAGTTTGATGACATAATATTTGAAATGTGTCTTCTGTGGTGTGTAAAGCTATCTAGATCATCTCAAAGCATAAAAACATGCAATTCAGGTGGGTCATCAGGCATCACTTGTGACTGAAAATGAATTGGAAGAAGTAAAATGACCTTGAAACCAAGCAAACACGTTTTCCCTAACGTACATAGAATACATTGTAAAGTGCACCAGACACAAGCACAGGACTACCATGAACTACTCTATTGCCCCATGTTCAAAATAAACAGAACATGAACATCACAACAACATGGTCAGATTTACCTGCTCAGTGGCCATGAGGCAGGAATTACATATGGGTCGCAGCTGGACTTCATATCCTAACTTTTTTTTTTTTTTGCATCATGTGTTCTGTAAGCTTCAACCTAACAGATTACACATGCATGATGTGCCACTCTTAAATCTGTAGATTGACAAAAAATGAATTGGTTTGATGGTATGTTAATGCTTTAATCTCAGAGTTAAATGTTAGTGTTACTGTGAATTTCAACATGCTACACATATACATGTTTATGTATAATGCTTGCCATGCTTTTCATCTTGCTTTGTTTATCATGCTAGCATGTTAACAGACACACTTTGCTCTCCCTCAGCATGACTGAGTTGTCAAACATTCACTGTTCCTGTTTTCTAATGCAGTATTTCTGTCATGTCTGTCAAGTTTCTGTTCATGTCTGCACATTATGTCTCATCTTTCCTGTTTTATTTTGAAATCACGTCTCTGGGTGTTCTGTTCTAGTTTTACTTCCTGTACCTGTCTTGTCTCACCTGCTCCCTGATTACCTCCCTGCACC